TGAAGCAGAAAGAAGGAAGGGACGCGAGGGCTGGAAGGGAGGGGAAAGAATGAGAGAAGGGCATTTGCCCCGCCAGATGACAATCTTGCCAAGGGATCCTGGCCTGGGTCCTCCCTGACTGGACCCGACTAGGGTGGGAGCTGGGGGATCAGTGCCCTGCGGGTCTGGGAACCCAAGGGGACTACAAGACAGCCGGGGAGCGCCGTCGCCCGCAGCCCCGTCGGGTAAAGTGGCCCATTGACAGAGATTCTCTCGACTCTCCGCTCCTCTGGGTCCATTGGTCCCTGGGATTTTCAGAACAAGTTCGGGAAGAGAGGAACAACCCATTCTCCACTCCTATCCCATCCCCACTTCCCTGAAATGAATAATGTAGGTAGGAGCCAAGATTTCTGCATTGCCCCAGCGGCTTGGCGCTAGGATCCCGAAGTCGGATAATGGAAATTCAACTGTTGTTCTGTGGCGGGGATGTCATTATGTGATTGTTCATATTCAAAGTCAGGCAGCAATGAATTGTAATCATTTCAATTATCTTCAATACACTTTAGGACACAAGTTGTCAAAGATTAAAAAAAAAAAAAAAAAGTACATTCTTGCGGCTCCGTGGGTCCATTTTCCAGATGGTTTGTTGCTCTTGCTGCCTGATTTGGTTTCGGCTTTTATTCCCCAGTCTCAGATTCTCTTACAAAGACTTCGCCGGAGTGAGCGAGCCCCGGCAGCCCTTGACGCTTCTCTGGCGCTGCGGGCCGGCTACATGGGTAGGGAATCGGCCTCCGTGAGCCTGGCGCGCGCATTTTGGTTGCTTTCAGGTTTAATTAACTTTGAACAACAAATATGCCTGGAGCTCTGGATCTGGTGTCGCCTTGGGGAAGGGGCCGTCGTATTATATTCTGCGTCCTTCCCAGCCTGGGGAGGGTGGTGGCAGCAGCCTACACTCCCCTCCCCAGACTAGCGCGGCGCGTCAGAAAGGCACGTGCTGGACTGTGCCCGCGCCTCCAACAGAGCCCGGACCATCTCCTTCCAACCCCTAGAAGGCAAGGAAAAGCCGGGATCTCCCTAGCCTGCTCTCCTTTGTTGAAACTACCCTCTGCCCAATGATCGCTCCCTCCTGTCCCTGAACGTGGGACTGCGAAGAGTTGGATGTGGTGTCCTTGAAGTATCCCTTCAAGTGCCCTCCATCCCCAGACTGGGCAAAGGGAGTAGGGGTCGCTTTTTAAGCCCAAGTCCACGGCTCCTATTTGGACTAATCCCGATCTTTACACTAATATAGCCTCTCGGCTTTTCATTATACTCATTTGGGAGGAAATGAGCTCTTGCCGGGCAAATAGCACCCTGCACCCCACTTCTCATAGCTGTGCAGGGCCGGGGCCTGAACAACCCCGCAGGCAATCCCGGAGCTGCCGATATTATATTTGTGAAATGTCCTTTTGTTGAGGCTTTTAACACCTTCTTATAACGAATCATTTGTTCTTTTCTCTTTAATTTTGATAGACAATTAGCCATCAGAGATACACCAGTTGACTGTAACCGAGCATTAAACTCGCCTTTATGAAACGCTAATTTAGCATAGCTGCTTTGTTTAACTTTGCTATATAAGAACCAGGTTTTGTAGAAAAAAAAATAGGTGTAATTTTATGTGGGGTTTCGTTTCTTTTGGCCCTGTACGCAGCAAGCCCTCTCCTCTTTGTGAAGCGTTCTGCTGGGGTCTGACGCCATTTCCCGTGCCTAGCACCTGCAGGCTGGGGGGAGAGAGGGAATTAGCATTGATATAGATTTAGTTGAAATGTAATCTCTTAAATCTGTCCAAGATTCGGGGAGATAATTACACTTTCACTGAATTGCCAGGGGTCAGCGTCTCTGAGGACCTGAGGAGTTGATTTACTAACAATAGTGTTACATAAAAAATGGCGTTTGAGATTATAATGTTAATGGCTGCGGTCGCTGGGGAATGAGCCCGCTTCCAACTAATTCCATGTAACTTGTTTTTTGCCTCCCTTTTCCTCCCTCCCTTTCTTCCAGTCTCCGTCTTTGCAGGGATTCAAAGCCTTCGCGATATTTAATTTGGTGGCAGGCTCCAGCAGGCTAAGACCAGAAGCTCTGGAGCTTGGGGTTGACGCTCTTGTTCTGCGAGTGTTTGTGGTGACAGGTGGGGGCTTCGACAGCAAGGCTGGCCTCTATCCCAGGAGGACTAGGGTGCGGCCTCCAAGCACCACGTAGCCAGGCTAGGGAGAGGAGCGAGACGGCTGCACCCGGAGGAAGCGCGCAGCTCTCCCTGGCAGCAGGAGACTGGACCTGCCCAGCCGGCGGTGGCCTCGTGCCTTGGGCCGCGCCCGCAGGCTGCCCCACCTGCCTGGAACGGGCCCTCTCGGTTTTCCACGGCCTCGAGCTTCCCGGCCCGCAAAGACCAGGCCCTATTTTACGCCCTACTCGCCCTCCTAGGCCATACTTCTCACCCAGCAACCTCAGAGGGAGGGACGCTCGCTTCCCGCCCAAACTTTCCTTTCCAGCTGGACTTTGGCGGGATGCCGAAACCTGAGTTCAAAGAGGCCCCTCAAGTCCAAATTCTACTTTGGGGTGGGGATTAGCTTTAACACCAACAAGCCAGACTCCTTTGGGGTGAGGACGGTTGCAGAGTTTACAGTCCCTCCACACTCTTCAAACGTCACCCACGGCAGTCTCCAGCCACAGCCAGGACAATCTGGACTTCTCCAGAAATCTCTTGGCCTCCCCTAACTTGCAGCCCCGCAGAGTGAATCTAGCGTTTCGCTCGTCTGAAAGTCTCACTCGCTCTGGGTGAATGGACTCAGGTTACCAGGGACCCATTGGCAAACTCGTTCCCACCCATGGGTCAAGGAAGAGGCCTGGGAACTGCAGCAGAGTTAAAGTCTGAAAGGGAAAAGCAGCCCCTCCTAGGAAGGTCAAAGGGCTGCTTCTGTGGCCTCCAGGGCAGCGCTGGGCCAGTGAGTTCGAGAAGGAGTTGAGAGTCCAGGAGCAGCCTCAGGCCTCACCAGGTTTTAGTGGTCTAGGCCTGCCCACAGGTTGTGGCCATTGCTGATACCTCAGGTCCAGGAGCTCAGATTCTCCTCTGAGAGCAACACTTCCGAGTTGAAAGGGGTTGCCTCTGCCCTCTACTTCTTACTCCTTACACAGGACTCTAGGAGATGGAGAAAGCAGAGCTTGCCCTGTCAGACCCGGGCACAGGCCTTGCCCAGGCTCTCCCTCCATCTGGGAGCTTTGCTTCTGTGAAGAAAGGGTGCTGGATCTGTGAACTGGGGGTCCTAGCAAAAGAAGCAGCTGCCACTCTTGGCTAGCACACTCTCACCCACCTTAGGCAGCCCTAGGCCTACAGGCTAGCGGTGCAAGCCTGGGTGCCCTCCCAGCTTGCTAGCATGGGGGAACACAGCCGGAGAGGCCCAGATGCCCAAACCCTTGGCGTTGGGGGTGTGGGTCCCTTCACCCCACTCGTGTTTATGTGGGTGCCCCTTATCTTATATGTAACAGCAATATATATGTTAATTGAAAACTTCTGAATTTAAAAAGGTTGTGACAAGTTATAATTTGTCCTGTCAATGCCTGGAATCCTTATTTATCTCTTTAGCTTGCCTCCCGCTCTCGCCTGTCAGCTAACAGCTTGCCTAACTCGTTGACTTCCTCACTCATGGCACGGAAATGACAAATGTGCTGTTTTATCCGTACAATTTATTTCATTATTGTTGCCAGCACGAAGCATCACAATCAATCATAAGGAAGTCCATTTGGCAGGTGTCAATCTTGGTGTGTTTTTGTACGTCTCAGTCTATATTTAATCCAATTATAAGGGTCACAGAGTAAGTGCCAATCCTCTTGTTACAACTCACATCTTATTTAAGATTTAAAGTAAAAAAGTCAACTAGATCACATGGACCTTTTGGGGGAAGGGAGGGGACTCAGTTGAAACCCCCTCATCTCCCACTCTCTGCCATCTCCTGGCCTCCAATTTAAATTATGCAGCAATCCTTTTTTATTAAAGGGTTGCAGGGAATCCGAGTTTTATGAGCATTTGTGTGCAAATGAAGGCTCTCCTTATTTTGCTAAAGTAGAAGCAAGCTTAATGATGAGAGATCTTTCCGCTCATTGCCCATTCAAATACAATTGTAGATCGAAGCCGGCCTTGTCACGTTGAGAAAAAGTGAATTTCTAACATCCAGGACGTGCCTGTCTACTTTCAGCGAATTGCATCCAATCACCCCCAGGGAATTCAGCTAATGTCTCCATCTCCACCCGGACGAGGGAGAGAAATAAATCAAACATGGTGCCACAAACCGACTTAATATGAAAATATTTAAACGGAAAGGAAAAGCAGAGTTTTCTCAAACTGATTGTTGTGTGTGTGTGTGTGTGTGTGTGTGTAATAAAGCAAAGTGGAAGCATTGGAGATTTTCCCCCAGAGGTCCAGGAAAACTTTTTATGGTGTGACAAAATAGACAGAAGAGAGAAAAAAGTAAGTAAAGTAGTTCTTTAAATGAGAGCAGGAAAATAATTGAATAGCCGAGGAACCACAGAATTGCACATAATCATGGTATTATGCAGTCCTTGAGACCAGGGCGAAGAGATGGCAAATATTATCTTTGCTAAATAGGCCCCTTTTTGACGCTCGAATTCACAAAACGTTCCTTCAGTTTGGATTTAAAATAAAAATCGTGTTAAAACAAGTTTTCTGTTTAAAGGGGAGGAAGTGGAGAGAGAAGGAAGAGCAAGAGCCACGCGAACTGCCCACTAAATTAGATTCCTAAGATGATATATTGATTACTGGCTTGTACAGCTATTTGAAATGACACTCAAATATACACAGTATTTTAAATCAATTATTTAGGAATTTTTTCCTCTCCTATTAATTTGTATACGGAAAAGCTTTATTAAGCCACTTTATACATTAGCACTCACCCTGGGATACTTTTTTAAAAATATTGCAGAAGTTAACAGAATGCAATATCTTCTAGATGAAGTTTTAAAAAGTGGAAATATTTAAGAGGAAAATCCATTTTATTTTATAATTGTTGGGGGACTCAGTGCCTATTCTCAGTAAAAAAACAAATACTATGTCAATTCCCACCCACCTGGTAGCACAGATCCAACCGGAGGGGCTCCTCCAATCTGGAAGCTGCTTTATTTGCATAAAGTAGTTAAGGCGAGAGAGGAAGAGACAGAGGCCGGGAGGGAAAAACATACCTTGGATAAGAACAACAGATCTCAGCTACAGTTCAAACCAAGAGCCGATTTCTCTATTTTCCTCTCCCTCCACTACTACCCCTACCTCAAGGCCTCTCACCCCCATCCAGGCTCTTCACCAGCCTCTGCTGGCTAATGGGGAAGCTCTGGGCTTCCCGGCAGTCGGGTGCCGGGGCTGGCCTGGGAGCCTCTGCCGACTGGGCGACTGGAGAGCTCGCTCACTGTTTTTGCTGTGGAGAATCAGAGCCTGGAGCTGACCTAGATGTCCGAAAATTGCAGTCTGGGCTATCCTGGGCTGAGGGTAAGCCTGAAAAAAAAGAGGTTTCTTTCCCGTTTCCGGTCCTTTGCACCCTACCTACGGCCTGCCTCAGGTAGCACTCGGCATTTGGGACTCTGAGTCGTCGAGGATGCCCCCGGGCCGCCCTCGGTGCCCTTCTGCCCTCTGCGAGCCAGTGTGGCCTAGAGAGGCTGCCTCTGCCCAGGCGAGGCGAGGCCAGACCTCATAGGTTGGGCTCCACGCAGGGCGCTGCCCGGTCTCCCCAAGGCTGGTGGCAGGCACGGAGAGGAGCCCCCTACACTAGATTTCTGGTAGGATCTCCAGAGTGCTCCAAGGTCTAGAGCTACTCGGAGAATCCAGCTGAGACAGTGCACCTTCTCACAGCTAAACCTGCACCTTCTCCCGCTGCGACCCCAGCGCCGGCTCCCTCCCTCCTTGCCCGGGAAAAATGGAGAGCAGCTCTTGCGTTGGCCCGGAGCTCGAAAGGGCCTAGGTCGGGCCTCGCTTGCACCACCGGCGCTCCCGTGCCGCCCGAACGCGCCCTTTATTGACAGGCAGATAAGCAGGTGGGGGCCGTGGCGTTTCCAGCGTCGCTCTCAAGCACCCTGCTGGGTTGCAGGGATCCGCGCACATTTAATGGCCTGGACTTCAAACAAGTTCTGAGCAGCCCTCTCGGCATCGGGTTGGAACAGGGTGGTGAACGAGCCCCGGACAGAAACTGGCCAGTTAGGAAGGCCTACCCGGGTCCGAGGCCTATCCGCAGCCCACACGCCAAGGCGACGGCGGAGAATGGGAGACCTCAGGACAAGTGAGGCTGGAGGCCGGGCCAGGTCCTGGAGGGGAGCTAGCGGCTTACCAAGAAACTAGGTTACTGGAGATGGCCGATGGCGACAGGGAAACCAGAACAAATGCCTCCCTCAGCACCACTTCTCAGTCGAGCCAGGCGACAGGACCATAGAAAGGTCTAGGCCCAGACTAGAGCGACCAGCGGGAGGTGGACGCTCCTAGGCCTGAAGACAGGATGCCCAGGGCGTTAGGAATGCAGAAAGAAAGTTTGGAGAATGTAAATAAGTAAGAACATCCTGCCGAGACCTCTCAATCAAAGCTGCCTTTCTCCTCCCCACCTTCACCGCCACTCCACCCCTTACCCTTCCGCACTCCCACCCCTACTCTGCCCTCCAGTCTTCGACGGGTTGAGCAAGACAAAAAATCAGGTCCCTCTAGGAGCGGTCCAGGCTAAGAGGAGTGGGCAGACGGGCTGCCTGGAGCTGCCTCTTGGCCGGTTGCGAGGTCTCACACCTGTCCAGGTGTGTCAGGGGCGGGAGCGGGAATCTCTAGATCTCTGCCCCAGCGCCATCTGTGCTGGGCTCTCCCTTAGCCGCCGCCCGGATCAAGGCGCGCAGGGACTGGCCCTATGACCCTCCTACGGCCCAGGCGCCCCCTCTCCCTGCCTACGCACGCGCGCGCGGACACACACACACACACACACACACACGCATTCATTCTCTCTCTCTCTCTCTCTCTCTCTCTCTCTCTCTCTCTCTCTCTCTCTCTCGCCCCGGGTCCACCCGGTCTGGGTCTCCCACGAGCTGCCTACAGGTAATTCCACGCCCCGCCCTTTCTCCTCCTGCAAACTTCTCAAGCGACCCCTGACCCTCCAGCCCGACCTCTGTCACTTTCAAATGGGATAGCCGGATGGAAGCACAGGGGAAGGAGTTGAGAAACGCCCTGTTTTGAGGGATAGGGGACGGGAATGGCACTGTGGGTCTAAATCTCCAACCCAAGGTAACTAGGCCTACCTCTGCTAAGTCATCTCGCAGGCCACAGAAGGTGTGAGGGAAAAACAGGCTCAGACCAACAAGTCAGTGTCCTGCAGACCCCGCCCCAATTTCTGTGAGTCTTGACTTCAGAATCAGGGGTTTTCCTATTTTCCTCTTCTAGGCCACAAAGTCGACAGTTAACTCCAAGTCAAGGAGAAATACAATCACCTACATTTTCTATGTGGCTGGAGCCTTTCAGCCACAGCTGCCATTCTTCCCACCTTCACCGCCACTTCCCTTTTAGGGAAGCCCGGGCAGGCCCCCTTTGGGGCTTCCCTCTTGAGAACCCAGCAGGCCTGGAGAGACCTTTGGCCTGGCCCTGAAAAAGGGATCGCCAGTCCTCTTCCCCGAGCCCCAGTCTGTGCCCAGCTAGTGATTTGCGGGCTCCAGGGCCAGGTTAGGGGTACTCATCGAGTCTCGAACTCCTCCTAAAAATGATTCCTGCCAAAAGCGTCTCTCAACCCCGGCGCGGCCTTTGGGTCTCTCTGATGAAGTGACTCCCTTGGGGATCGGAGGAGGGGACAGGGCTGTTACTCAGACAGTTAGCTGGTCAGCTTAGGGGCAGAGCTCTTGGGGCCCGCGTGCCCAGCAGTGAAGAGGAGCACACTCAGCAAGACTAGTTTGCCTCCTGTAGGAGGGCGGGCCAGACCGGGCCAGGCCGGACTAGGGCAGCCACAAGCCGGGCCAAGGAAGACCAGAGCAGGGGTTGGAGCGGGCCGGACCCTGGGTGCGGAGGAGGAGGCTCCCGCCGGGCCCGAAAGCTAGTCCGCGCGCGGAGCTGTGCCCAACTCTAGCCGCCATGACGTCACGCGGGCCGGGCAGCCAATGAGGACGACGCTGGCGTGGATATTAAGGAAAGTTAGCGCCTGCCTGAGCACCCTCTTTTCTTATCATTGACATTTAAACTCTGGGGCAGGTCCTCGCGTAGAACGCGGCTGTCAGATCTGCCACTTCCCCTGCCGAGCGGCGGTGAGAAGTGTGGGAACCGGCGCCGCCAGGCTCACCTGCCTCCCCGCCCTCCGCTCCCAGGTAATCGCCGGGGCTCGGGCCTCGGCCCGGCTCCGGGCCCTCGGCGCCTCTCCGCCGCCCGCGACTGGTGTCCCCCAAATCAAAGCCCGCCCCAAGTGGCCCCGGGGCTTGATTTTTGCTTTTGAAAGGAGGCAAACAAAGATGGAAGGGAGTTACTGAGGGCGGGATAGGAAGGGGGTGGAGGAGGGACGTGTCTTTGCAGTGTGTGCTTTTCTGCAAAAGTAGCAAAATGTTCCAGTCCCAAGAGTGGACTTCCAGTCCAGCCCTGAGCTGGGAGTAGGGGGCGGGGGTCTGCTGCTGCTGTCTGCTAAAGCCACTCGCGACCGTGAAAAATGCAGGAGGTGGGGACGCACTTTGCATCCAGATCTCCCCTGCGTCGCAGTTTACGACATTCGCGCGTCGGGAAGACAGTACCTGCGCCTGGAGCGCTTAAAAACACCCCGCCGCGGGTCAGGCGAGGTGCAGAAGTTTCCCGCGGTTGCAAAGTGTAGATGGCTGGACCGCAACAAAGTCTAGAGCTGGGGTTCGTTTTTCAGAGTGACGCAGAGTACGAAAGAATGCGTCCAGCAGAGCTGGGCAGCGCGAAAAGCCCCCAGCTTGTGATTTGAGCTTCACTTCGGAAGACCTAATAATTAGCGATTCTCACTGAGCTAGAACGCGGGCTCGGGTTACTGCGGGCGCTGCGCTGGCTGCCTCGGAGGGAGAGCGCGAGGGCGCCAGGGAAGCCGGGACGTCAAGCCCGGGAAAGAACAGCGCCCACCACCCGGCGGCCCCTGGAGGGCCAGAGCCAGGGGCCGGAAGTGTCCCCGAAGTGGGTCAGGGAAGGGACGACCCAAACTTAGACTAACTCATGGTTCAGCCGAGTGAAGTCCTGGGAGCCCAGCCCTAAAAGCAGCTGGAGACGCCCAGGCCGGTTTAGGCGGGGCACCCGAGCACTCCGCCCGGGAGTTTGGAGCGGCTTCTAGGCCAGGCCCCGGCTCACCACCAGCTCGTCCCCAACCCCCCACTCCCATTCGCGCTCCTGCACCCCCTCTCTAGGTCTTCTGTGAGCATCTTCGGAGCTCAGGCACCTGTGACAGGTGTTTGGGACCACCGCCCAACTCCGAGCGGTGGCCGCCCCCCTGCTCACCTCACCTGGAAACGGGGGACGCGCGCAGTGGCCCTCCGGCCACGTGCCTTACCTGGCCTGCGTCCTCTCCTCCGCGGGTTCCTCTCTCCGGAGCTGGGCGGCGAGCAGGTTGTCCGCTTCGCAGTGGGAAGTGGACCTTCTCCTCCAGTCATAAATCAAACCCAGCCATCCTCGGGCCTCCTCCCTCATTAGAGATGTTTATTGGAGATTGTGTTTATTCGGCTGTCACGGCGAGAAAACGCGGTGACATAATTACCTCTGACCAGAGTCCTCGCCCCGCGCCCAGGGCCAGCCGAGGACCTCCTCTGTCGCCTTCTCATGCCCATGCCCTTCGTGATCGGAGGGCGCCTGTGATAGGCTTGTCTTTTTTTCCTCAGACCCTCTCACAGAATTTGGCTGATTGGAATAACTATTCAGATTTCCCCAGGGCCCGGAGGTTATTTATTTATTTCAGAATTGGAAAGGAAAACCGCAGGGAACCCAACGCCCCTCCGGGGCAGAAGGGGGCAGCGCGCGCGAGGCGTAAGGAGAGTCCCTCTGGCTGCACAAACTTTCCCGCGGGCCGGGCCGCGCGCGCGCAGGGGCTGGACGCTACCCGGCGCCAGAGCCGGGCCTGAGGACCGGGGTCTGGCGGGGAAGGAGGGCTGTCAGCCTGGGTGGTACTATTTGTTGCTTCATTTTTTCCTTTGCTTTCCTCTCGGGAGGAATCAGAGGCATTGGGGCCGCGTACTGAGGATTCTTAAATTTTCTCCGGCCCGCGGCACTCGGAGGAGCCAACCCGCAATTTCTTCCCCGCCCCTCTGTCTCCGGCAGTGGTTTTTCCCCCGCTAGCCAGGTTTGGAAGTCACCCTCTGTGAGACTGGGTTAGGAAGTGATGAAAAGCGCCGAATTGGTTTCTAATTGAAAATACTTTTTTTGGAGATAGCGCTGACAAATATATGGGATCCCCGCTTTTGATCCCTCGCTGCCGCCTCTGTTCTCCAGTTGCTAATAAAGCTCGCATTGAGCCCCTTAGTGCCTTGATTAACAGGCAGATTAACTCTTACTGGGGTTGGAAACAGCTTGTCCTAATCAATGTCGTTTTAAAAGCCCGTCAGGATGCGCTTAGCTCCGGTTCCCTGGCTGCTGGGGCGAGCCAGCCATGACATTTGCTCACCCCTCCTCCTCAGCCTCAAATCCCCCAGTAAAGCCCCCAGTTCCTGCCAGCCTGTCCCACCTCTAAGACGGGACAAATCGCAGGACTGGGTCGTTGTCCCCTACAACAGGCCGCGGTTTAGAGAAGGGAGCTCCAGGGAGAAGGGACTGAGGTGGCCTTGGCTTGTTTGTTTTTCCTTTAAAGCTGAACTCTTGCCTCTTGGGGGCAGAGGTTACAGGGAAAGGAGAGATGGGGGATCATCTCAGGGTGAAGAAATGGAAAGCAAACTTTCCTAGGAACCCTATTTGCAAAAATCGGAGAGTGCCGCTGATTTCAATTGTCCTATGCGTCAGGAGTTTTAAACCCAACGCCTATCTAGACAACAGCATGGAGGGGCTGGGAGGCAAAGTCTTGAGAATCTGACCCGCTAGGCTGCTAGGAATCCCTCTGCGGGGAAACTCCACTGAACAATGTTATTTTAAAGAGTATTTTGGGAGTGAGGGGGAGGGAGAGAGAGAGACAGACAGACAGACAGGCTGGCTCGCCTCCCAGTGTGAATGGAAGAGGACTGAGGACTGAACCAAGGAGTCCCTAGCACTAGACATTTGGCAGGAGGCGAGGAAGGGCGAGGGCACCGCGGCTTCCCCCCAGCTGAGCAGTGGCCACAGCCTGGAGGTGCCACAGAGCTGCTCTGGGCTCTTCTAGATTTCTCTAGGCTCTGAGCTCGGCGAGGCTGCCGGGTGAGCGGGAACCGGCAGGTTGCTGGAGAAAGGAGAGGGACAAAGGCCTGGAGAGCGGGGGAGGAACCCGGAACTGGGCGGCCAGGGTGGGCGCCTTTGCCTTTAGTGCTCGTTGGACCCGTTTGCCAGCTCCGCGGTCCAGGGAACCCACCCTCCCAGGGTCTGCAAAGAGAGAGACGTTTGGGGCACTACAAAGTGACACAGGTGTTGCTAAGACTTTCCTTCTCCAAAGAAATGCCAGTCTTCACCCTTTCCAGCAAGCCGGCGCTTTGCCTCTGCTTG